TGTCCGCAAAGGCAAGAGATGCGCGACTGATCAATTCTCCTGAATTTCGTATTCTCCGTCGCCAAGTCACACGCTCCGCCAATACTGGAAGGCGATTGCAGACAGCATGAAGGCTGCAACTGTCACAGAGGACTTTGGAAAGCCATTCTGTCTAATTCGTCTCGCAGCAGGAAAGGAGCAGACATCGGAACCACTGTTGCGCAGCACCACAGGCCAATTTATTCAGGGAACCGAGCGAAAAATGCAAAGGTGGGTTGAACACTTCGACGGGCTGCTCAACCGACCACCAAACCAAGCTGGCTNCAGAAATCATCAATGCGGTCACTTCTCTGAAAAATAGAAAGGTCCCTGGAGAAGACGGGATATCACCAGAGTTATTTAAAGCTTGGTTACCAACTCTAATCGATCCGATGCACTCTCTTTTCCACACCATTTGGGAAAGAGAAGTTTTTCCAAAAGACTGGACGGCTTCAATTTTAGTCCCGGTCCCAAAAAAGGGTGACGGATCTAGATGCGAAAATTACAGGGGTATTAGCCTCGTTGATGTTTCGGCCAAATTGTTTGCAGTGATACTGCTAAATCGCTTCGCAGTCGTCAGGGATATTCACAATCGCCCGAACCAAGGGGGGTTTCGCCGCGGAAGAGGCTGTGTTGAACAAATCTTCACTCTCCGTAGAATTCTGGAACACCGCTACAAGTTTCAACAGCCTACCACTGCATGTTTCATTGACTTCCGTGCTGCGTTTGACTCTGTCGATAGAGAATCCTTGTGGTACATACTGCGGTCCGATGGAATGCCTGATAAGTTCATCAGGCTTTTAAAGTCATGCTATTCGGACACCCGAGCACGCGTCCGTACCTATGAAAAAGAATCGGTAGAGTTTACCCTAAGTTCTGAAGTTAGGCAAAGTGGTCCCCTGTCGCCAGTGTTATTCAATTACACCGTAGATTGGATAATGCGACAAGCACTCATCGACTACCCTGGAGTGCAGCTTGGCCCAGGTACGTGGATTGCTGACCTTGAGTTTGCGGATGATATCGTTGTACTTGGAGACACCATGGGCTACCTCCAGTCTGTTGTTAATCGTATAAATCACTTTGCCCAGTCCATTGGGCTAGAGATCAACGCATCGAAAACGAAAACATTTTCTACCGAAACTTCTACCATGACACAACCCCTCTATTAACGGGGAACCTGTCGAAGTTTTCAGGTATCTTGGCTCTACGATAAGACTGAACGGCCAGGCTAGGGATGAAATCCAATTCCGTGTAAATGGAGCTAGAAGAGCCTTCCTACTACTTAAACCGTTGTGGAATCGATGCTAAACTCGAAGCTTAAACGCTAAGCTTCGGGTTTATCAGGCTTCCATCCGCCCTATCCTCACTTATGGTTGTGAAACCTAGCCGCTAAGAGTACAAGATACAAGGAAGCTCGAAGTCTTTGATCATTGGTGCTTACGCTGCATGTTGAAAGCAAACTGGAGAGATCGGATTTCCAATGATGAGGTTCGACGGCGCTGCTTGAACATTGACAAGCTTTCAAAAATGTTACCACGTCGGCGCCTTCAGTGGTTTAGCCATGTGCTCCAAAGGCCCGACACTCATCTCTCGCGACAGGTTGTAGCCTCTGCACTGTGCTGTGGATGGCATTGTCCACTCGGTGGTCAACTGAAGACCTGGAGTAGTTCGATCAAGGCGGATTTGGAATTACTGGGTCTTCAATCCGTATATGGAATTCGCAACTGGCACCAGAACTGGGTTTCTCACTGCGCCAACCTTGCTACCGATCGTCACACATGGGCCACCATCATTAACGACATCCAAGAAGCCGACTTATCCTCCTGCAGGAATTAGTCGATCCAAAGTAAAACGTAAGTAAACGATTCAAGAATCGCCGAATCGTTTGGCAATTAAGGTTACTACTCGTTAGGATATGTCCTTTGCGCCTTCAAAGTGCAAGGTGTTGTTGCAAGATTGGCAGGAATCCGTTCCTGCGCTTTCATTTGGTAACCACAGTCTGGAAGTGGTCGAAGGCTTTTTCTACCTCGGGAATTGCGTAACGGCTGGCGGGGGTGTGGGCAGGAGATCTCAACGCGTGATCGAAGTAGGCTTGTCGCCCTCTCGCCTCAGTTGTGATACTCTTACACGAGGGAGGTAATAAACTGAATGCAGATCATGGGAGCGAATTTTGAGAGGAGTATGGAACGCTAGATATGTTCGCCAAAACGCTCAAATCTAACCATACTGAAACGATGTAGGGTTGAATACCCCTTATGGGATAGGCGGTGGTACTGACCCGGACAACCTAACGAGAGGCAAAAACCACAAAACCTGTTTGAACTACAGGGGAAATTTTGTCGAGTCATTTAGATGCAACGAATCGTAAATCATTCTGTAAAAAACACTGCTATTAGTACCATCTAGCCTACCTACAGAACATTGAATCATAATAACGACTCAAATGCACTAGTTTAGCAATGCACAAACGGAGTGCATTTTGTCCACTCACTTTTATCAGGTGATGGTCTATCTGTCGGTCCTAACTGCATCTTAGTCCAGTTAGCGGAATGCACGAACCCCATTGCACAAACTGTGCCTTTTAAATCGAACGTTCGGTCGTTCGGTTTAGTCTGTTTACTTTTGCAGTTATGGCGGGACTTGGTGTTCATTGTTGGTGTCGAGATGAAACCCACTATTGAGTGACCGAAATAGTGAATCTTGTGCAGAAGCAAGCTATTATTAAGTTGTCCCATGCCAAAGCGACTGCAGTTCTACCGGGCAAGACACGCAGGCGTGAACCATGCTGCTAACCTGATGCGAGTTTATGTGAAAATGCCTGCAGCAGACTGTGAAGTTTATCAATATCTTGCCGATCAAAATGAGAGTATGACCGTATAGTTTAAACCCGAAAAACTATAAACCGGTTCCCTGTAAAGTTTTGTGTTCCTAAAAGAGAACGGAGTGCAAAATAAATTCGTAACTGAGTTTAATTTACGTTCAACTAGTGAGCAAGAATCCGATATGATACAGCAAGCTTTGAAGAGTGTAAGTTATTGGCTTGAATACCCACACCGATCGCAGGCGGTAGGAAAACTTACACAGAATCAACATCCCCATTAGTGCCGCATAACGTTTCTCCTACTTTTCTCACTTTTCGGCCGTTTTCTTGCCCGCTTCTCATATCCCAAACATTCATTGTCCAACTAATTATTCGGCAAATGAATCGCAAAATAACTGGGAACAAATCTAACCACAGTTTTTCTCGTATTTTGAGAGACTGACATCTTCTAAATCCTTAAAATGTCTTCTGAGATTACGTGTTTGGAATCGCGTTTAATGATTCATTACATAAATTTTAGTGATGAGTTAGGAAAATATGTACTAGGGTCAACCGCACAAACGTGATGCCACTGATAATCGAATTACGGTCTCCCGTTCGGAGTCCACCACTCGTGCGTTATGCATTCTGCATGTTACCCAATTATCCACCCTCCCGCTTATCCTTTACACTGGGTTTTTTACAGGTATTTCGGTCCCCACTGTTAGGTCACAGTCCAAGTATGAACAACATTCTCGTTGGCGCAACGTGATTTCACAGACTGTGATCAATTTCTATAACCACCAGGACACGTGGGCCGGAATTGATTTGCAAGTGGAAGATCGTATTGCGGAATTGCAGGCTTCCGGGGAGGCCCTTTCTCTATTCACCTCTCACTCGGATAGTTCCGAATCGGACGATGGACTAGATAAAACGAAAAGGTCAGTCCATGGATTATTATCGATAAAAACAATAGGGAATGAAGGATTTTAGCGTTATCATTGCTTTCGCCATTCAGATGACTAATTTCTAGCACATTTTGGTTTTCCTCTTACCATCGGTCACACTATATGAGCAATAGATCCTATAACTACAGAATAACAGCTTCAACATCTTGTCAACCTTCTGCCGATCAATTCTGACCCCAGTCTGACACATTTTTCTTTGGAATGGATTCACATTACTCAACACGGATCGCGAAAATCAATTCAACAGGTTGAGTGGCATGAATTCCGAGCTTCTGGATCACGAAAACGAATCGTGATTAGTGCTAGTTCCACCTTATTTGTCTCGGGTTGATTGCGCTCCACTTACATTTAAGGGTGTGCAGAAGTGACTGACCGTGCGTTTTCAACGAGTGAGTCATCGCACAGCGAAATACGGCGAAGCGGATTTTGCCGGTCGCTGCCACACTGCAACCGAGTACATATGAATGTTTCGCACTTAACTCAGTTACTTGTGAATAATAGTGTGGGATAATTGATATTTTTTGGTTTGATCCGGTTCAGCCATGGTCTGGGCCGGTTGGCACAGTGGTAACGCACACGCCTACCATGTGATCGGTCCGGAGTTCAAATCTGGGACGGAGCGGTGGATATGCACTAGTGATGAGCTCTAATATGAGCGATACGTGAGTCCAATGCTTCCGAGTGTATGGTTGAATCGGTAAACTAATGATTGTGCGTAAGGTGAGGTCCGAAGGATAGTCAGTTCAAATCAGTAAATACATATGAATGCGTAAGGTGGATACGGAGAAGGGGCTTATTTCGAAGGATTTACCGAATAAAATGTAAAACAGCATACAAAGTACGCAATTTAACTGTGCATAAACACTTCTTTAGGTATTTTTTCCTTCAATCTCGCCTTGTCAGCACAACGGTTGATGACCTTAGCAATGTTTTCTCAATTTATAATGGATACCATATTCCGTTTGAGTCTCTCGTGTTAAAATTGCACGTCTGATTGAGCACAGCCACACCTTACAAAAGCTGTTATGGGCACGGAATGAGCGTTAATAAACTACTACATGAGACACTATCAGAGAAAAACCACAACGAATTCCACACAAACTGTTAGAACAACAATGCAAGTGCACAAAAACCGGAGTCGAAAAACACTGTGTATGATGCAGACCACGTGAGTTTGATCGGGTGAACAGTGATCCCAAGTAGGCTCTTCTGGATAGTTTAAGTGCTCCTTTAGCCGTGTTTCATATACATTTTGTACCTTCCAAGTGTAAAATGTTGCTACAACATTGGGTTGGCCCAACCCCGACCTCTTGCTGAATTAGAAAGTAGTAGAGGAATTATAAAAATTTTGCTATATGGACAGCTATAACTCACCTGACGGAAGCATCACAGATCCAATTTCGGCACGCATACAGTGAACTTAGTTGGCATTTTCCAACTCGAGACATATGTGGCACCGTCGCGAAGTCCAGAAGTCCGTGAAGGGTCGAGTATATGCTGTGGTGGTTCGGCCAGTTCTGCTATACGGCACAATAAATTGGTCATCACGGGAACAGGATAATAGCAGTGTCAGTGTTTGAATACCGC